GCTGGGGGGAAGGTTCGCGTTGGTTATTCGAGGGGATGAACGCTCTGAGACCCTCATTTCTACTCTCCTCTCGTGCGTATCCCCCTCCTTTTGCCTCGAGGCTGGTAAAGTCGCTGAACACTGGTAGCTTCGGTCGCGAGGTTCGAATTCCCGCGAACGGCTGCTGAGGGGTTTTCGTTTTCCCATTGTAGGTTATACGAGCCAGTTCCCTTAGAAAGCCCCAGAAGGCTCCCTCCTGGCAGTCCCTAGTGTGCTTTGCCATAATTAAATACACCACCACCGATTTCTCTCTGCCTGTTAAAGGTATTCAGCTTTCTTTGAAATAATTCACAGAATGTATAATTCTGAATAATTAATGAAAGATTTTAGTATAATGTACAATTAAAATGCTTCTGTTCAAATTTCTTATTAAACTGACTGAAATTCTTAATTTAATTGAAACTGTAAATTATATTTAGGTTCGTTGAAAACGGAAATTACCGTCAGGCTTTTAATCCCTTAATTCATTTGAAACTGAAAATTGTGTTTAACGAAAGTAAGCACTTTAAAATTATTCTTGCGTGCGTACGGGTTAGTAATAGATTGAATGCTCACAGTTACAATGATAGGCCGATAAAATTTATTCTATCAAAAGAAACACTTCAGAGTTCTGGAACTTTCAACAAAAATAGTCGTACAACTCTTTACAGCATCGCAGAATGCAATCAGTAGCTACACTTTAATTTACTAAGAACGTTAAACAGAACGCAATGCAAAGCGCATCTAAAGAGCGAAGCTAACTCGGAGACATCTCAGTACTCCGAACTCACGCTGAATGACCAATTAACAACAACTCTGAGCAAATGCTCTCTCCAGTCTTATATAGTTTTCACCCGACTGCCTATAAATATCTAGTACTTCTCGAAATTTCCGGAAGGCATATGAAGGCCGGGAACGATTACAGTTGCATATAAAATCAGTTACAGTTATTCAATTACAATACCTATTTCCGTGATACAGGGACCAGACCAAAATGCCGCCAAATTGTCGCGAAGTTCTGTGACTTTTGGCGACAAATTTAGTCACCCAAACCGTCACCAGTTTGGCGATATTTTGCCAAATAAACATTTACTTAATGTTAAATAACTTTGCCCCTGTATTCTTATTTTTTAGGTAGAGCATCGTACTTTTAGATTTTCACGTTACATTATACAGAAAAATATATAACTTTTCATATATAATTGTCCTAAAATCATCTATCTTTGTGCAAAATTCGTAACATTTTTAATTTTTAAGGCAACAACTTGAATTGTAAATACTGTAGAACTTAAAACCATTATGTTGACTTTGACTACATAACAAATTTTCAGCATGTTTAGCATAAAATCTTCATACAAAAAAATTTTTAAATCAACGTTTCAGTACATTTTCTGATATTTAAATTGGGAAACAGCTAAATTACTAACAGATAATTTCTTTAATTGATGTTTTTTTCGTATTTACTTCTGTGATACTTAACATTTTAAATATTTCAAGTCACATAATGAATACAGCATAAATATAAAAATTTTAGTGATAACTTTGATACAACGTGATTGATCTCCTTAACGTTGCCATCTCAAAAATATTTCCAAATCTAAAATTTGGTTTAATAATTTGAGATATTTTTACTTGAGTTTTTCTTTTCTTTCGTAATATAAATATTTTATTATATAGCTGCATTATTATTAAAAACAATCTGTGTTATTTTCATTAAATAAATATGTAAACTTATGATTATGACAGGAAACGGAAATAAATTTCAAATGTACTGCTAATGCACGTAACATTAAGTAACTAATAAATACTGTTATTTCAGTATTTGATAAAAGCAGCAATTATTTTCTTCTTAGTGTTTGAGTCCAGTAAACATATAACAATAACTAATTTTCCTTACTTGGCAACATCAGCTTTGTCGGAATAATATACACGTGGATAATATCTAAAATTGCTATTGTAAGGGATACACGTGTTTTAATTCTTAATGTTACCTTCATGAATTTATAAATATACGAACGCTGAATTGTAAGCAATTATTATATTTACGTATGGATTACTCCTGATCTTAATCTTAAATTTTTAACTGCAATATTGCTGATTCCTATTTTAGAAAAGATTTGTATTTTTATGTTTACCCTTGATTATCTAGTGTAATATAAATCCTATGCAAATATTCAAATTTATAATTTGTTTTATATAGTTAATTTATTTTTTAAGAAATAAAACTGAGTTATGAATAGTTCACATTCTTTAAAAAATAAAATGTTTGTAAAAGGAAACTGGCTCTATGAAAGAAAATAATTTCTAAATATTAATTAATAATAATTATTGCAGAATATCTTCAAATTCTTTGTAATATCTGTATGTTCTAAATTTGAGTATTACTCTAATAAATCATAATTAATTATACAAACTGTCTCAGTACGAATGTTACAACTTGTAGGAAGGGTGGAATCACTCAGACGACTCAGAATCACATAGGATTGTGGGATTGCAAAGGAAATGCGCTTGTAGTAATCTGCACAGCAAACATCGGAAATGAAAGGACATCCAGTTAGTTAAAATTCGTGTTGAACATAAATATTTATTCATAAAAATATAGAGCCCACCAGCGGCCGAGCGGTAAAGACGCTGAACACTGGAAGTTCGGTCTGAGGTTCGAATCCCGCGAACGGGCTGGCTGCATGGGCGTTTTCGTGGTTTTCCCCCCACGTGTAATACGACCATTTTCCCTTAGAAGTCCTCCACGAAGCTCCCCTCCCTTTGGCAGATAGCCCTTGTGTGCTTTGCCATAATTAAATACACCACCACACCATAAAAATATAATAGATATAAAAATAATGTGGGCGATATCCACGAAATATCCACGAACTGTAACGCAGGCCTCACATTTCGGATGCAGGATATAGAATTCTGAATATTCTGGAAGATTCCGAACATGTCTCTGGCTTTCCCGCCAGCTACTGCGATGTGCGCATCCATTTCCTCGACGCTGTCGACGGAGATATCATACACTAGTGTTTTAGCATCCGCCCAAGGTATCGTAATCAAGACGTGATAGTTTCTGCGATCAAGCAAGACAATGCACCAGGCAAAATTGAACGCTTAAGTGTTTAAGGATATTCGTACTGAAACTACAAAGGAGTTTGTATCAATGTAAAACGCTATTCGTAATCCAAACATTTTGGAAACATGCACTTCTGAAATATTAAGTGATTGTTGCCAGTCAACTGAAAATGAAACAAATGTGGCCCGATGAGATGATCCTTTAGATTGTAGACACACACATTTACCATAAAACGGCTCTGTGGTTGCGTGTTAGATGCTGCGCACTCTGTTCTGCGTGTACTTCGTGTTACGTAGAGTTTCGCTATGACTTATTGGAAGCAACAAGAATGAGGGTATGTAGCATTCTGTTGCAGAAACCGTTGTACAAAGCAATTCGAGATAAATAATCATTTGGTTGCAGTGCCTGGACGCGTTTCAACGTGGTACGGATGCTTTTTGTTTCCTTTATGAATTCTTCAAACAGTGCAACAGGAAATCCCGACTTCGTGAGCTACAACTCGCGTGATACAGCTTAGAGTGCCCATAATGTAGTCTTCTCGATGTCCGGAGTCTACACCGATCGTTCACATCTCACTTCAGCTTTCTAGAGCAGGCTTGCAAACTGTTTATCGCTGGGATTTATGGCCTCATCGGATAACACACCGCACTAAATAGCTGTTCTTCTGATTGACTATGTCCGCAATACCGTATACCATAGTATACCGTATACATATATTCGAGTTCATGGGTTATCATCCGTTTTACTTTGCGTCTATGTTAACATGAAACTTCTCTGGGAGGATATTCAAATTTTCGCCATCTACCGCATCAATTGAACATTTCCGATCCTGCACAGCTATATGATTCCAAGTTGTGTGTGTGCACTCTTTCTCTTCTGGTTCTTAGACACAGTACACAATTGAATATTTTATATACCACCTCAGTTTCGTGTTATACTTACAGAAGCATTTCAACCCGAAGCAAGTAATACTTAGTTTTAATTAAACAAACTTAAACTCATAATTAAATGTTTTATCTAATTTAAATTTATAAAGTTCGAAATAAATGCAATTTATATTATGAATCAAATTTATAAGTAATCAAAATTATTACGCATATTGCAATGCATTCCGTTCTAAGGAAATAAAATACTGTTTTCATTTATTAAATCAATGGAGAACAAAGCTGTATGTTTATATTCAACAGTTTAAGTTCCTATTTAAATATTTCTTAATGTAACTTTATTTCTTGCTTAATATCTAACTGATATATTTGAACACAGTTTTCTTTAAAATGATATTTTTAAAAAGATAATTTATATGTTATCACGCTCTTCTTTTGAAACAGCGTTTTGACTGAAATATTAAATACATGCTGCAAATTATCATGTACGATTTAATTATAATTGTATAATAAACCGCTCATTTTTATGCTGAATGTTTTATTGCATAGCATAAATTCTGCACAAGTAGATTTTTCACAATTTTCACATGACAAAGAAAGCTCAGTTCTTTAATAATCAGCTAGTTTTCATCCTTGAAAAGGCAGGATTTTTTAAAATATATATAATATATATATAAACAAATTTCCCATTTTCCTCATATTTCTACTTTGGCATCCGTAATTTCGCATTTTTAAAAATGTAACATATGTAATCACTTACATCATAACATTTAGAACTATCAGAAAGTTATTATTCTTTAATATTTAAGTTGCAATTCATTACAAAAATTAATAATATAATTAGGTATTAAAAATAAGATTTTATTTTCTGATAATACAAGTTTTGCTTCTTTATTGCAATAAACCAATTTAACAAGCGCCCTCGTAACCTTGTCTTCACATTTAAAGATAAACGTTTTACAAATGTACGTTAAAATAAAGGATAACTGTCATTTTAAAAAGAGGCATATTTTATTCAGAAAGCTATATGTGTGTAATTAAAACAAAAACAAATTAAAATAACTTTTAATTAAATCATACATATAAGAATACTTAGTTGCTACCGAACTGCAGAAAAGCAATTTGTTTACATCTAAAGAACACACAATTTAATTTAACTCAAAATTAGTCTTTCTACTTAATCTATAACAACAGTTTCATGTACTTCAATTTCATCTCTCAGATCTTCTGTGATAACATGATCGTTACTTTTATTTTCTAAACTTTCTAACTCAGTGCTCAGTTTCTGAATTTCGATGTTTAGTGTTCCCGCTTTCTTCTTCAAGCGCCTTACGTACGAAGCTGCTTCATTCAGTAGTTTAACAGTGGATAAACGACGTTCCTCAATATTAAAAGGTATGACATCTTTTAGGAGTTCTAAGTTATCTCTAAGATCAGCACGTCTCCTTCTTTCTAGTTCATTATGATAGCCTCTTCTATGACACACTTTTTCCCTCAGCTGTTTCCTGTGATTATTTGATGCAGACAGAATATTGGAGCTGCAATAATCATGATCCGAATTCGATTCTACGAAATCCGCAGCTCTTAAAAGTAAATCTATATTCATTTTTAGATCGCAAATCTCAATAAAAGAAAAAGCGAAAAAGGACAATTTACTTTAAGTACTATTTACAGGTTTGATTTTAGAAAAAGCGTGGAAGTGTGACTTCATGTGTATATTTGTTGCCATAGTTTAATTCAAAATGTTTGAATTCATAATTTTGATTTCCTTTTACTGAACGTGACAGGCGCATTCACATGCACATAACTTAATTTCTAACCTTTTAATATCATTCAGTAAGAAATTTAATTCTTCATAGACTACGAATTAGCATGCAAAATTACAGTGACAAAAGTTATTAAATTAATGAAATATATTTAAAATAATGTTGTGTAAACTTTTTATGTAGTATTTCAAGCACATAAATGAACATTTCCTCGTAAATTTAAATATAGAAAAAAGACTAAAATTAGTAAGGATTTTTATATCATTATACATTAAATTAAAAACATGTTGAAAATGTTATTTATGGCTGATACTAACGTAGCTACTTCGGAAAAATTCCTCTTTTATGCAGACACATTTTAAATTGTATGTATGTCTTTAGTACACGTTCGTTAGAAAACATTGTTTAAGATAACATAATATTTTTTCTGAATTTAATTTGTAGTAATGTCTAGCTCACAGTTCGTAATAAATCAAATTTTAATAATCGTTCAAACCATATAATTTCCCAGCATCAGCTACCACACTATACAAAAATTGTTGGACGTCTGATATGGGATGTCAGCATTGTTTCCGGGAACCTCCGCATTATGGAGGAATCCGCTGCCAATTTTTGCATTCGAAAGATGTCAAGAAATCATAGTCATTGAATATGCCCTATTATCTTATTATTAAGTTCGATCTAAAGTGTAATTCAATAAAAGTATTAAACTATGCACTTTAATATTAAATAATGAAACTTAATGATGCTTTTAATATACATTCTATGTATTCTAATATGCATACTATGAAAAAATAAGATTACTAAAGTCAATATAAAATTACTAGTTCTCATTTCTGAGTCAGATAAATATTTGAATCACATTATACTTAAGAGAAAGAAACCTTTCGAAAATTCCGTGTAGAAAAATATTTCAAAATCATCCTCACTAGAGACCCTAGAGATATTGAAAGAGCTTATTGCCTAGGGCCATTTACATTTTGTTTTCAAAGATCACCCATGTGATCCGTTTATATTGCTTAAGCATTTGAAAGGAAACTAAACAATTTTTAAAAAAAACACTGCTGCATATATGACAAGCAGCGCAACCAAATTTCTATATTTTCTAAATAATCAAACATTTTCTGTTTTTCAATTCAGTGTGAAGTCAGCATTTCTAATTTCCGATTTACTAGTGGTAACTCCAAAAGAGTATGATGTTATAAACATTTTAATCCATTTTGATTGTAAACTGTTTCTCTGTATAGTTGTAAGATATTTATTTTATTTCTTTATTGTTTTTAGAATGGTAGTTTTATGCTATTTAATCTAATCTGTGGCTACATGTCTATTATTTATCGTTGCATAGAATTGTAGATCTCTGAATTTTCTCAATTAATAATACAGTCTTCGGAATTAAAACAAATATTTGGATTAGAAGCCGAGATTGGTGATTCCTAAGGGATGGTGAAATTTTTGTCGCTACGTTGGGAACATTTGGCGATTTTTCTTCAACTTGGCGAGTTTGTGGAAGATTCGCAAAAGTACATTTCGAAGCCCTATAACTGATTTTTCCACAAGTTTCCAGAGTCCATGCATGCTGCAGTGTATAAACATGGGTTGAAGACCTTGGGACTTCAATAGTGAAACAGCTATGAGATTTAGCGTTTAGCTGAAGTACGAGTGGGGGTTTACTCTGAGAGCGTTTTGAGAAAATTCACGATTTATTTCGTGTGATAAGGAGGAATAGATACATATCTGCCTTCTCTTTGATTTATTTCCAGCTTTATTGAGCTACGCGTACTATTCACTGTGCTTGATTCTTAATAAATTTTCTTCTTGCTTATGCGGAGTTATTATTTAAAGAAATATAGGCGATTCCGTAGCTTCCAAAACTGGTGTCACGACTGAAGTTTCTCTAAATGCCGATAACCAGGAGTATGGAAGAGCAACTGAACGCCATAATGAAAATGATAGCCGCAAGTTCGAGTTGAAGACATTGACTGCAGCGAATGTAATTGAGATAGGAAGCTGTAAACTTGAAGAATTTCATTTGAGATGGAATGAGATGAGAAATGAAACTTCAGAGTGAAGACCCCATCGAAGCAAATGCCTCTGCGTTGAGGAAAGAAGCAGCAGAAAGAAGGAGAGTATTGTTACCATCGAAAGGAAAGTCGTCAGTGCTATGCCTGAGGCTGCTTTGAATGGCATTCTGGTTCAGTTATCCCATCTCGTAATTAAGCGTTAGCAATATGATAGATAGTGATCATGAAACGTGCATAAAATACAATTCCAAACAATTTCACAGGCAAAACAATGGGGATACAGACGCTCCAATTTGAAAAACGTTCAGATTCTGACGCCTTAAATAAAGCGCTAGAGCTGCGGCTTGGCAAAACATCTCAAAAGGTGAGGCTCGACAGCAGAAAGCGGGAGACACCCTTCAAGAATTGGAAGCTGACAACGGAAAGTTAAGGAAGATGTAGATAAAAGTTAAATGAGTTGCTATAGGATGATTGTTCGTGATAATATTTCTATCTCTGCAAAAACAGAATACATCATAATAGGTGCAGTTAAAAACGCAGTTAATATTTTTCTAAAGAAATTACATGTTCAAAAGAACTTTTAATTAAAAATTCCCTTATGGGCTTAGCAAACGAAAATGCGCCGGTCAGGATTCCCAAAACAAATTGCAAGCATCATACGGTCAGGATTCTCAAAATAAATGGCAGGCATCATACTTTCACGAACGAAGAGGGAATTGCTTCGTGTTTTCCTGTAACAAATATAGTGAAAAATTCGTCGATCAAAAGCAGGGTCCTCCTGAATTAAACAATTTAATTGAAAATACAGAACTAAATTCTAAACAAACACATGCGTATCATTTAAAAGAAGAATTCAAGAATGTCTTCTCAATCTCACCTAGTAACGTTGATCGCACAAATGTGACACAATATCGGATTGACAATGGAATCCATTCATTTATGAAGCATCGTCTTCGGCATCTTCCATTCGCAAAAATAAGAGGAAGTTTGGAAACTTCTGAAGGAGTTTCAGAACAATAGCATTATCTAACCGTCGTCTAATCCTTGGGTATCCCGTATTGTCTTAGTTCAGAAGAAAAATGGGTCCACGTGATTCGTGTCAACTACCGGCGTAACATGACGTTACGAAAAGACAGTTCCCTTTTTTCTCTAATCGATGACACCTTAGACATGTTAGCAGGAAATAAATGGATGTAGACTTTGGATTAAAACCGAGAGTGTTGGCATTTGGAAATAGATCTTCAAGATTGGGAGGTGACTGTATTTACTATGCTGCAGCGACATTTAAACCTCTAATGGAGATAGTTCTGAAAGAACTTGCATGCTAAGCATGCCTCTTGTATTTAGAGGACATTATTATTTTTGGTCCCTCTTCTAAGTCATTTGTAAAATATCCGAAAAATACTACAGAGCTTCATAGAAACTAATTTAAAGCTCAGTCCTTCGAAATGTAAATTATTTCGTGGGAAGTTAACTATCTTGGTCATATTTTCTTTGCCGAACATGCACGCATAGATCCTGAGAGAATCACAACTTTCATGACTAGTATCGCCTTCAAAGACAGCAGAACCTTTCCAGCACTGTCTCTGCGGTTGAAAATTTCTACTGAAAACTGACTACATGTCATTGCTTTGGCTGCTTAATCTCAAAATCCGAAAGGTTAAGTTGCTAGATGGATACACCGTCTACAGGAATATAACATGGAAATTCCACATCGCAAAGGAACTTAGCATGGAAATGCTGATACACTTCCGACCTTTTGCAGAAAAGTTCAAACACTGTTCGAAAGCACAGTTAAAATATGGCTTTGAAGTTCCATTTGTCAGATAAACTAATACAAACTCCTTCAAATCAGAGACTGATGCTTGGATCAGTTAAGAATTGAGAAAGACCCAAATGGAAGATCCTGAATTGAGGACATTAGTGGAACTAACGCAAAAAACAAACGAGGAACTTAGCTGACAAGTTAGGGTACCCTTTAGTCCGACGATAAAAGGATATCGGGTTTTGCAGAATTATCTTTACCTGCGGACTTCTCTATTGCAAATGAAAGATTGAAATGTTTCAAATGGCAGCTCACCTTACTGAGATCTGGAATGTAAGAAAAGAATACAAAATTAAAAATTAGATTCTGTCTTTCTGCTAGCTCCTACACCTCACAGGCCCATTCATATAAAAGACATCCAGCTAGCATAAATAACATCACGCTATGCACAAAGCAAAACAGATATCAAAGTTTTCTTTAAAATGATATACACAGATGGCTTTGGAAGAAATAACGGGAAAGGATGAGCCATAAAATTCAATTATCATAACACGAAGGTCAAGTTTCAGCTCGACATAGAAAATAGCGTATTTCTGTCGGAATTGTTCGCGATCCTACAGGTAATCAACGAAAGCATACATCAGCATTTCCCAAGGACATGCATCTATACAGAATGCTTTTCAGCAATGCATGCAATCGCGAAGATAAATAACAAATCATCACTAACTCAAGAAATTTTAAGCAAGTCCTCCAGCGCCTAAGACCAACATTTCTTTATGACTTGAATTAAAGTCTATGTCGGTCAAAAAAGAAGAAAGAAGTTAAATTATTAGCCAAAGAAGCAGCTTAGGGAATAAATTCCTTGAATTCAAGCATTCCCTGGCCAGCTTAACTCCTGAAACTAAAATTACAAAATGTAACCTAAAAATCATAGCAATAATGATGGCACTCTACCAGTTAGGGGGAAGAGTTTATAACCTCTTCTCCAGAGTAAACTCCTCTCCGACTCATAATACCTGACAAATCAAACTTGGTTTATTACTAGGTATAACCTTTTATTCCCCGTACTTCTACTCTCTTCAACAAATTCCTAAG